GTTAATAAGGAATTGGAAATGTCTTATTTGTTATTAGTATCCATTTATTTACTAGTAACTTTATACGTCAGAACATATTGATAAAGCTATGTTACCTAACACTCAACACACTGTCAAAGGAGGGGTTCACCAATCTACTCTTTCCTCTTTTCATATATCTCTCTTTCTCTCTTTCTGAGTTGAACTTCTTTATCATTACAAAATCTACAACTTACATAAGATATCTTCCCCAAAACACTTATTTACCTTGTCATCTCTAGCTTCAAAACAATTCACATATATATATATATATATACTCAACTCTTGTTCGTTTTATTTTGTTGAGAGCCTACATAATAATTAAGCTAGTTACGCTTGTTGGATGATTTTTATAAGGCACTTGGTTTTGCATGGCTGGTGATGTAGCATTTCCCTCTACCACTTGCATGACCTTCTTCTTCTTCTTCTTCTCTTTGCTTTTAGCTTTTCACTTTGCTATGGCTGTCCCAGAACGAAGCTTATTCTCCCCTTTAACTTCTACAAAAGATAATGGTGCCAAGAAGAGGAATACCATAGTAGCTGCTTCAGCAAGAGAAGACAGTACACAGAAACAAACCTTAAAGGGTATCAATAATGATCCTGATCTACTGCAGGGTCCACAGAGAGGAAGCTCTAGAGCTCCAAGGCCTCCATTGCGATGGCAAAACAAGATCTTCAATAACAGTGAGCATGAAGTCCCTAGTGGTCCAAACCCCATTTCAAACAGGTAAATATTCAATATCAGGGCAAAACCCCACAAAAAAAAATAAAAAAATGTTTCCAACCCAGAGGTTTGTGGTTTTCAGGTTTTGTTTATGCTATCTTCCCTTGTTATATATATTATTATTATTTGTTCAATTTTGTCCATTTGTAAAGAATTGATTTGGAGTGCTAGGGATTCAAAAGCATGCAGTTTGACATGATCGATCAGTGCAAATCTGTTCATATTATTGTCATGAAAATGAACCACACGTACCAATCATTTAAACATGAGAATATGTGTACATGAGATTCTATTTCGAGTACTCATCATTGTGTTCATATGTGTATATATATGGTTGCTTCTTTTCAGAATGGTCATCATATTTTTCTCCTTTTCTATCCTTTTCTCAATTTTTTATCATTTTTTCACCAAAACACCAAATTTATCCCCAGTGGATCATCCGAATAGTCTTTATAAAGCCCAAATTAGGCTCATTTTGGGATAAAATTGTGTTCATATATGTATATATATGACGCCACATATAATTTTATTGGCGACATGTATTCAAACTTCCTCAAAGATATTGAACAAAATTTGGATCGATAAAAAATTAAATTGGGAATGTTTTTGTGAATGACTTGATTGAAAACTGGAATATTGGAAGAATTAAAATAAGGTGTTTTTTGTTTAACAAAATAATTAAATAGGAAGACTATTTTTGTCATTTTATTTGAAAAGGAAAATTTTTATTTTATTTTATTTATTTCTAACATATAACTAAAAATAAAAAACAGAAAAAAATACACTAAATAGGTAGAATTAATCTTCTTATGATCAGATTTTTGTTTGATTTTGCCATGTAAAGTTTTTTTTTATATATTTTCTCTTTTTTAAAATTTTTTTAATGAAATTCTACCTATTTAATGTTTATTAAAAAAGTCCAAAAAAAAATTTACATAAATTTTCACGTCACCATCATGTAAAATTTTTGCATGAGAAGATAGATTTCCCTGCTCGACCAAACCCTCTAAAGCTTATTTAAAAAGGGGCATCCATGTACCTATTGGTAATAATCCAAAGTATAAAAACGCCGAGGGAAGGGGACATAATGATTCAAGTTGCAATGAAGGTTTTGGGGTTTTGTTTACGACGAGGAGTTGCTCATTGCACACAATAATGAAAGGAGAATTGGGGTTATAAAAAGTAGGAAGAAACACCACCTCATCTACCATTGTTTTGCGTGAAAAGGTTACACGAATTTGGCATTTAAAGCAGTGTCCGAAAGGTCAATATCCTTCTTCCTCAATTACCCAAAATATCCTCATCACTTTTTCTAGACTCCCATAGTATCCTTTGTCTCTTTTCTTTAAACCTGAAACAAACCATTACGAGCTGACTCAATTATTATATGTATAATTCAGTGTCTCTTTCCTCTTGTTAGTACCCTCTTGTTTGTTTATCAATAATTATCACATGAAACTCACTTAACTGATTTGCACTAATTATTGGATCTTTTTACTTTGCTTTGCTTGTCTAGTACATGTTTTTGGGTTTTTAGAAGCTCTATTATTGTTAGCCCCCCCTTTGATTATGATTTCAAATTTTGGAATATTGCTACAAAGATTCCTCAGTGTATCATAAATTATCTTTTAGCATCTTATGGAATGCAAAACATTCACATTCCAAAAACCGTGACATAGTACCATTTACTAAATTCATTGTTAAATTTAAATCATGTTACAACATTTTCTACCACACCCCCATCCCATGTAAACTTTTGTTTTATCCCAAAATAATGAAAAAATATAGGTTCACCTTAGACAGCATAGCTAAAAGAGAGGTAGGTAACGCAGTGGGACATGGTTTTGCTTTCAACTTTTGGTTTTAAGGGGTCTTGTCGCTTTAATTAGTTACTTTATTTTGTTACCAAGACTCAAATGTTTTGCAAGAGTAAGGCTAGAGAATGTTTGTCAAACCAAAAAGATGGAATTGCTATTCTGCTTTGACAAAAGCAATCAAAGTGCCTTGACAGCTTTCCTTTTTACGACTGTTTTCTTTATTTGGTTATTTAGGTTTCCTTTTTATGGGATATGTTTTTCTCATAAATTGTCTTATGCAACATACAAAAAGTAAGTAGGATCCACTTTTTTTTTTCTCTTCTTCTTAGTGGGTCTCACTCATTTTTTTATGTATCTCATGCAACATGAGAAAAATATTTTCCTATCATCATTCAAGATATATTAACTTTGGCTTTAATGTTTTAGGTGAATAGAGATAAATTATTTATATTTACTCTTAAAAAAATATCGTTTTAAATTGAAAGATTAAAAGATTATAATAATAAATATTATTATAATCTTGAAATAAATTATAATTATAAAAATACCTTAATTTTTCTCACAAAACGACATTATTTTAAACTCAATGCAAATAATTTATCTGAATTCACCGTAGAAAAACCGACCCATTAATTTCTCTTTCTTTCTTTATTTTTTTTTTTGTTTTGGGTTCTTAATGGAAAAAAAAAGGGTCAAGTTTAGGAGCATATAACATGGTTGGTCAAATTAATTTCTGACATTAATATAATATCTTGTGCGCGCTTTATATATAAGTGGGAAAATTAAACGTAATACCTATTGCAGCTCCGGCCCACGATTTCCTCTTGCAGCTCCTTCATAATATCTGACATTAATGATTACGTATCATCCCACCTATATAACAATTCTCATATTTCAGAAATTAATGACTATAATATATTTTATAACTAAATTGAGAAATTAGCCAAATATTTCATTTGCACTCATTTTTTATTTATATTTAAAATAAGATAAATTATTCTACCCACATTTTTTGGCTTTTTGATCATTGTAACCCTTATTTAATAATTAATTATCAAATTGATCTTGATTTTAAATTATTTCAAAAATTTAACTTTTCTATAAAACATAACATCAATCTGTCCATGTTTGAGACCATCAAGCCTATCCGGGTAGCCCCTCCTTATCCGGATATGTTTTGAAAATTTTTCCCTACCCGAATGATCAAGGAGATACCCTGGTATATTTTAAAATTCTGGAAAAATGATATGGATACGGAACATGAAGTAGACACAGCTCTGCAATTTCGTCTGGTAACCCCGGAATCAATGCAAATTGATGACTAGCAACCTATTAATTGGAAACCCAAGAGAAGGAGAAGACGAAGAGGACAAGGGTAATCAGTAATCTCAGCACACTTTGTGGGGCTTCATTTTTTCTTAAGAATTTTAAGAAGTAAAAAATGGAGATTTTGATGGGTTCAACCTTTACCATCGATGTTCCGTCGTTTTGGACTTTATGTGTGTTTTAAAACATTTTGATTTTGATGGGGGATGTTTTGGACTTTATGGTAAGCGATGCAGGAGGGGATTGTCGAGCCATTTCGATGGAAAATCAAAGTCATTCACGGATCTAGCACCTTGAAGGAATTGAAGAAACAAGAGAGTCCTTTCAATAAGAGAAGAAGGGTTCTGATTGCATCTAAGTGGTCCAGAAGATCATCCTTCTATTCCTGGTCCAACCCAAAATCCATGCCTCTTTTGCCTGTTAATGAAGATCATGATGATGATGATCACGAAGAAGTAGAAGAAGAAAAAGAAAAAGAAAAAGCAAGAAAAGTGCCCTCTGCCTCTTCATCTTCATCTAAAAAAGCTATGATTCCGAGTAACCCCCTCTCTATCCGGGTAAATAATTCAAATATTTTTCCAGAACTTTGAAGTATAATAGGGTATCCCCTTGATTACTCAGGTAGAGAAAAAATTTCAAAAAATACCCGAGTAAGAAGAGGGCTACCCATCAAGGATAGACTTGATGGTCAACGGTCAAACAAGGACAAATTAGTGTTATATTTTCTGGAGAGATTAAATTTTTGAAATAGTTTCAAATCAACGTCAATTTGGTAATTAATTATTAAATAAAGATTACAGTGATAAAAAAACTCACATTTTTTTCATGCCTACTTTGTCTGTCATTTTTTAGCACTGTTATATTATAATCTCAACTAATCTTTATCATTTTTCTCTCCTATTGAAATTCTGATCTAATGGTATTAAAGAATAACATGTAATGTAGACATAAAAAAAAATATAGCTAGAATAATTTATCGCTTAAAATAAATAACAAATTATTACTACATTTATTTAAACAAAATTTGCAGAATTTATTTGTACGTACCACGTTTCATCTGGTAGCAACCCATTTGTTTTTGAAAATTTAATTAAAAAATAAATAAAAATCGGAGAATAACCACAGCCAATTAACAGCACAACTACGGCTGGCCAGTACATGATGTTTCTCAGAGAGCACACACAAGATGGTCAACATAGAAACTTTGGTGCAAAAAAGCCATAACCACAAAATGCTTTGTTTTTTCTCCCCCCTCGTTTTCCTTGTGTGTGTATATATATTTAATACCACTATTTCTAGAATGGTAACTGGTCACCTATGCCATTTGCTTGTATCAAAATGCTAACTCTAATCCCATAAAAGCCTTTAATAAGGAACTACACCATATCAGTATATATACAAGCTATTTGGTCACCTCATGCTAAGTCAAACATGGTAGTTCAGAAAGACCCTTAAAACTCATAACCAGTGCATATAAAATAGTCCTTCATCTGATCCAAGCCATGCACCCAGAGAAAAATCATGCTTGTATTGGTTTTCCTCCTCTGCTTTAAAACCTATACACCCATATAATACAGTTTCAAATAAGCAACCAGTAAAACCACGCCTATTTTTATAAAGTTAGATAGCAAAAATATAGGAGAATTTATAAAAATTGAAAGCAGAAAGGCCAAAAGCATATTGTGCTCACTATTTTTGTGTGTTTGATAGCACACAGTGGAGAGAACTGTATCAGAGAACTTGTCCTCAAAAAGCAGTTCGCCAGACTTGATACTCCATAACCGTAGCTTGCAATCCTCTCCACCTGACATAACAAATCTCTCGGATGGATCAACATCAAGCTGTATACGAGTATGGGAATTCACATGTCCTTCATAAGATTGAACAGCACCCCTCTGGAGTAGGCGACGGTCGTAGAGCCTCATCTAAAATGGAAAAGAACAGGTCATTAAGAAGAAGTAATTTCTCCCATTATGTGCAGTCTGCAAAAAATGGTTACCACCAAGACATTTCTGGCAACATTTCCTTCATCATCTTGTCAGTTGTAGTGACATAAAAGGAGTTCCATCATAAAGAGTGATAGTAAATAGATTTGGTTTGTGTTTGTAATGCCTTCATTGGTCATTATATCAAAGGAAACGTTTTTTTTTAAAAAAAAACTCATGGTTTTCCTTCGAATCACTTATCCCCCTATATTTTTGTTTTAATCATTTAACTCCCTAAATTTTTTCCATCCAAGTCCATCTTTAACACCATTAAAAACTTAACTAATATATCTATTTTACCCTTCTTAAAAGAAGAAAATAGACTGCAGACAAAAAAGAAAAATAAGGCCAAATATGTTTGAAACTTACAATACTGACAAAAAAGACCAAATGATGTGACCAAAGGGGTTAAGAAAAGATAATTTCCAGATAAAAAAGAAATTCAATTAAACAGGATCTATTAGACTAAGTGCTCTTCAAATACCAATAATTAGTCTTCAATTTAAATATTAGGAATAAATTCATACAAATGCCTAATCATGAGATTCTACTGCAAACTATCAGTATCCTATGCCACGTAAGAGCAGATATAAACGATAAATATAGGCAATAAGTTTCCTAAAGAATAAACTAACCGATCCATCCATGGAGCTAGCCAAGAAGTACTGATCATCAAACTGAAGTGACACCATACTAGTTTCACATCCACAAGATAATTACGGAAAATAGTTAGTCAAAATAGATAAAATTCAGATAAAACAATATATAAGTCAAGAAGACAACTGGCAGGGAAAAGGCTGACTAACCAGGATATAGATGAAGGCATTCTAACGGTCTGAGAAGGATATATGTCTCCAGAGAGCTGCAAAAGGGGAGGGGCGTAACCATAAAAACAATAGCCACAGCTAATAGTGTAATGACATTCACAAAGTGAATCATCAGTCATAGAATAGAAAATCTCAATACGATTACAGCACAAGAAATAACAAGTTCCACCAAATCAGAAATTTATACAGGGGCTTAAACGTAGATTCACAAATACAGAAAAAACTACTACTAAAGCACGTTAAACAAAAAATAATTAACAAAAGTCAAAATTTTAAATATGTAAAGGGGAACAGACTCCATCAAAGCATACAAAAGTCATTCGGGGTTTGAAGAACTTGTTATGAAAACATAGTTCTTCCAGTTTCACCCAATTTTTAAATTAGTCCTTATAGTCTAATTTTTTTAATTCAGTCCTCACAGTGAAGGTTGTCAACGGAACTGCTAAAGTTGGAAGAAATTAAGATTAGTCTCAGTAGGTCAAGTAAAAACTCAAAATCTAACGAACTAGTTTTATTGTCCAACACATTTTAATCACTACAGAAAAAAAAATTAATTACAATATATCTGGAAGGACAAAATATGTAATTTAGATTATCAATTATGCCATTACAATATATTTGGAATCGTTGCTGCATTTCTGGTTCGTTTCTGTGATTAAGCTGAGCAGGTGTTCTTAATTAATTCGTTTACATACAGGTACCATCAAAATTTTCTTATGCACTATTTCGATTATTTCTTGAAATCCTATTATGTCTCTAATAGGGTCAGAGAGCATTAGTTAGATAGAATCGTTAGTAAATTTGAATAGCTATGTTGGGAGGTTAAAGTTGTTAGAGCTAGAAAATTAGTTTAAATAGCAGGAAAAGTTAGAAAAGAGGTTCCCTATTGGTTAGTTTTCGAAAAACAGAGTAGTGGCTCAGTTGTAAGGAGAAACCCTAGGGGGAGATTTTTCTCCTTTGGTCTATGTTTGGGATTCAGTTTATCAATACAGAAGTGTTCTTTTTAATTTTCTCAGTTCTTCTCTCTACAATACTCAGAACCCATTTATGGGTTCCTTACAGTCTATCTAGTCCCTACGTAATTCTTAATTTCAAAAATGAAGAAAATACCTTGAACCATTCTTTGTTAGAACTTCCAACTTTCTTATCTGAAGATATAGAAGATATACGATGTGAAATAAGTCTACCAGAAAGCCTTTCTCTTTTCTCACGAATGTCTACCGTGACAATTGCCCCATTTCTGAGTCCACATAAAACCACATTTCCCTGCAACAATAAAATATAATAATATTTTAAGAATCATAACATCATTCATACTAAGGACAAAAACATATTACATAGTTTTGGTGGAAAAGGCTAAAAACATAAAAGATGAAGAAACTAACAAATATCATATTTCATTTTATAAAAAGATATTTTATTAAAGACAGGAAAAGAAGAATAAAAGTAACAGGAGGTTAAGATATTCTTTGAAAAAAGGAATTTAAAAAAAAAGGACATAAAAAGAGAAATAAATAAGATCATTAGTTTTGTCTGCTCTTAGCAAGTATGGTTTTGCACCTAACAAGTCTTCTGTAAGCTTCCTCTAAAGCGCATGCCTGCCTTCTAGAGTAAAGGACAAGGGAGCATCCTAACCTACATAAAAATTATAGGGATCATGCCCAAAGGTGCACATATGCACCTTCTTCCTCCTAGAAATTTGACCTCATTCATGAATTGACTCGAGCGACGAAGTCCTTACAAGTGCACACCACCCCTTGCTCATTGGAATCAGAGAAGGAGTGCGCTTAACCAACAAGGAGATCAAAGAAATCCACATTCTGTTTGGCATCTGGACAAGGTATCCGTTTATACAACCTTCATAATAGATTATTGAGTCATCTGTCAAATGCATAAACTATTACTCCCGCTCCTCCAAAATGGTAACTACAAGAAGAACTGAGGATTCCGCCAGGATAAAGGAGAAGCACCTCTGATTGAAGGACGACAACTACCAAAACCACGGCTGGGAGGTGTGAAACCTCCAAACATGAACTCTTGGGCCCATCCTGTGGCAGACCTATCTTGTCCAGCAGCAAGCTCTACAAATGGAGACTATGATGCACCGACACTTCAAAAAATCTAACATGTTGTGTCCGACACTTCTCAACACTTCAACACGCATTATAGAGACTCAAAAAAATGTTCGAAGGTTGCGTTGCGTTGTGTTGCATTTTTGTTGAGTTTAATATAAATATTTGGGATATCTTATGTTTCTTTGCAAAATTAATTGGTATTATAAGTTTATCTTCATTTTTTTGTTAAATTATTGAATATTAAATATAATACACACTATATAAATTAAAAATATTATTTAATATCAAAATGTGTCCTAACGTGTCGAAATTTAGCATATTTTAAAATTAACGTGTCGAAGTGTCGTGCTGTGTCTTATGTCCCGTGTCGGTGCAACACAGGATGGAGTAACAAGCCCAAAAGATTGATGATCTCCAGAGGAGGATCATGCAAGATGAGGGCAAAAACAATGAGCAAAGAGCTCACACCCAAAATGCCAATCCACAACTGAGCACGAGGTCTCTCGAGTAGGCCACATCAGACCTGGACCTAGGGGGCCGATAACATGGAAAACCAAGCTGGACATTCGATTCCCTCCCCACAATTCAGCTATCCCTTTACGAAAAGATTAATATCGACCGTTACACCTCAAGGAACACTCAGCTTCCATGATTTTCTTGGAAGGGACAACCTCCTAATGTGCTGGTTCGTTTCTCTCACCCTCAAGAAAGCTGCACTTCGTTGGTTCTCATCCTTGCCTCTTAACTCTGTAAGCCGCAAGCAGAACCCGGCCAAAAAGTTCTTGTTGCTTTTTACAACCAAGTGTTGGAATCGCAAGTGCATCCTATAAGTTTTTCAGATCCAAGTCAGGTACTTCGATCTAATCTCTCAATTGTTTGTCTCTTTTTCAATACCAATATATCATTGAGGGGGAGAAATTTGGAAGATATGCAATCTGGCTCCAGTCTATATCCCAATCGTGGTGTGGCCTCCCTGATCTTTATTCTAGATATACAGTATTTGTCTGAGATACAGTTTGGCCTCGTTAGTCTTTGTCCCAGGTGCATTCTAGCCCCGTTGGTCTTAGTCCAAGGTGCAATATGGCCCTGTCGGTCTTTGTTCCAGATGCAATTTGGCCATGTTCTTATTGTTTTGGTATTTTTCCTTTTTAAAGGGTTCATTTGTAACAAGCTTAAAGCTTAATAAGCTTTAACCTGAGGGGGAGTATTAGAATATCTAGAAGATATCTTATAATATTATGATTATATCTTAAAATAATTTAGAGTATCCTTGATGATGTCTCAGGATTGGTTTTCATATTTCCTTATATTTCATAATGTGTTTCCTTATTTTAGGAGTATACTATTAGTATTAATAGGGATTAGTGCTTTGTTGTTTGTATCATAGATTATCACATTATTTTACATCCTTCACAACAATATCAATATATTTTTATTTATCTGGGTATTCTTTTTCTTCCCTGTATACCTAAATCCCCATAATTTCAACAAAAAACATTGGTCCTGTTAGAAGTATTCTAAATAGGTTCTTAAAATGTCTCACATTGTTATATTAGTCTTACGTAATTCTTATAATCGCTCTATATAATAAAGCCTCAACTATGCTATTGCAACGCATGGATTTAAACATCGTCTCTTTTTCCCATGTTATTCAAAAGCTTCAAACTGTTAAAAAAATATTCGAGAGAGAATATGTCCATTGGAAGAGAGAAAGAGATAGGCAGATAAGAGAGACAAGGAAAAAAGGATGCAGAATGAAGCATTATGGGTAAATTGCCGCAAGCTGATGTAAATTGAACGCTACTCTTATTTTTTTAAATAAATCCCTTTTAACCTGATGTCCCTAGAATCAAATGCTTGCCCATGTTTCTGTCCTAGAAATATAACCAGAAAATAGAAAACAAGAGGGACTCATCCTTTCTGTAAGCCTCTGATTGGAAATTTACTGTGGTTCATCATCCTTTATGTAAATACAGTATCTAAATGCTAAAAATGGATTCCTTCTTTTCTAACATCCATTACAGCATTTCCATCTGAACCACATCATAATGTTTTTTTTCCCAAATGAGCAATTAACAATTAAATAATTGCCAGCCGTTCTGTACACTTAAGAAAATTTTCAGTTCATAATTAAATTCAAAATAACGTTTTCATCAATAAATAATGAAAATTTAAGCTTTTCTTCAATGTAATCATTTATTTGATTGCAGGAACACGGATATTAAAAAGTAACATGTACTATGCAGTATTTTATCAGGGATAACTTACTATTTTGTAATAAAAAGGGAAAACTTACTGAATTAACAATCTGTTGTGCAAAAACATCACTTTTACTACGTAAAAAGCATGATGTCATCCCAGTTTCCAGATCCACTAACGCACCTCCCTGATTTGTACCTAAGAAAGATAAAGAAAAACACAAATGAATAACTTACAAAAGATTAGATATAAAATTAAATGAGAAAAAAAATATCTTATAACGTCCAAATGTTTGTTCAGATATTTCTTACGGAAGATCACAATTGTCATCTTCATGAACTATTTAGCATTTTAGTTACTAAATCATTTTCTATGGCTCATTTTTCATTATCTTAACCTAATAATAAATAGAAGCAAAATGCAGACAAAAGCAAAACTGATCACTCTAACCATATTGATACAGGCTACACTAGATCATTCTATGTAGCTAAATTTTATAAGCTGAAATCGACTGGTTCCAAGAATCATGAAAGTCTAGAACTGTAGGAAAGTAAGGAAGAGCATTTGGAGTGTCTATAGAGAGGAAATCCCCTCTCCCAGGAGTGTCCCCTTTACAACTGAGAATGGCTCAGTTAGTATGTTATTCTCCAAAGTGCCTTCTTGTTACAATTTCTCCTATTTAACTACTACCTATCTAAACTCCTAATTTCCATTGTAACCGCCTATATCTAACCACTAACTCCCTACTGTTTATTCCTTCAGTAATACACTCTCCAAACTCCATTCTATTTGTTATGTTGAGACTCGTGCCCATCTGAAACTCCAACAGTGGAGAAATTTAATGCATTGAAAACAGTATTTTCTATAAGAATGAGGTGAGAAGTGCCAAAATATAATGAATCTGTGCAGTGAACTGAAACAAACATTGTATCTCAATAATCCAGAATTCATGCTAAACTGTTAACAAAAGTTTGGGGGTATCTTTTGGCCAAAAATTAATTATCCCACATGATCTATGCAGTTCGTAACAATCAAAACTCAACTAGGTTGGGATCTATAGAGGGAAATGAAAATAAGAGAACATCAAACGTAACAAATTTGCATGGCCATGAATTAACACTAACTGTTAAGTACAAATTCCACACAAAATACCATGTGGCTGTATCTGAATTGAACATTATTTGGCATAAGCAAATGCATATTAACATGTGTGTGTGTGTGTGAGAGAGAGAGAGAGGAAAGCAATATGTAACTTGCCAAGTATAGCCCGATGTCTATTATAATCATATTCTGCTGTCCAAAGGGTACACTTGAAAGAAGCAATTTCCTCTAGTCTGCTCCATGTGCTCAGTATACCTGATTCAAGATCTAATGGTTCAACAAGACCAAGAGTATAGACTGATCCACCTGATATCTCTGATCCCAAAGTAGTAAATCTATTTTTCACGTTAAGATCTTTCACTTCAAGATCAATTTTATCCTAAACAAGTGGAATAGGATGGTCCAATATTGATGATAGAGAGGATTATGCATGTATGTCAAAAATAAATTATGAGAAGTGAGAGAGTTAATCTTGATAATGCAATCTCACATGGATGATCAAGATTAGAACTTACTTAAAGGTCACATGACTTTATGTTTTAATCTCGACCATACATGCATGATCCAATGTATATATTTAATTCGTGCTTCTGGAACAATAACAAAAGTAACAATAAAAAAAATTAAAGGATACAATACATGTCCAACAATAGGATCATCATTCGCAGCATGAGAAGAGCACTTTGGACCCAATCTTATACAAGATATTCTGGAGGACATAAACAGTGAAGCTCCATTCGGTCTGAAAACCGGCCCAGGCACCTCATTATGCTCATCTGTTTTCCCTTTAACATAATTCCTCACACAATTTGGCATCCATTTTACCCCGCCATCAAAATATTGCCCAACCCTTCCAACTTCAGAAAAACTGCGAGTACCGAACTTCACAAGCAACAACTAGTAAATAGTAATCAACATTACACATCAAACTTCACAATAATCCAATGAAGAGACAATATGTTTTTAGGTTTAAGCACAACCAGTGTGATCCAATCAATTTGCAGGATCATCAAAGTACTGACAATATACTGAGGTAAATTGGTATTAATTGTAACATAGAGTACTAGGACAATGTTGCAAAAATAAGATTAAAGAAAAAATGGAAAAACAAAATTGAATAATTTAATGTTAAGATGAAAAGTTATACACCAATTGATTAACTGTTAGCAGTAATATTAGTAAGGTAGTTGATAAACTTCCCTGCCACTTATCGTCTTAATCTTCTATATGCGATGAAAGAAAGGTATCTAATTTCTCTTTTCTCTAATACAATGATTCAGGATATTTAATTTTTATTTTGAGTGGAGCACTGTACTAATTGACCTTATTTGCAATTACAGACTTTCTTTCTGCTTTCTGTTTAAACAGGTATCTTTTTTACTTGGAAGGACTTATCTGTCATAATAAGCACAAATATTTTGTGCATTTGGATGTGTAAAGAACCAATTCAACCCAAAACCTTAAGGTGTTGGGTGAGGGCCTTTTCAATGGTTTATATTATTCTCTAATACACCCCCTCCCGCAAGAGCCCTTTGGACTTGAAGCGTTGATATTACACAGGCCTAATTTTTAGTTTACCTTGTCCTTATTTTAATTCCACTAGAAAGTGGGGGACGGTAAGGATCAAACTCGTGACCTTATGGTCACTGAAGAAACTCTGATACCATGTAAAGAACCAATTCAACCCAAAACCTTAGGGTGTTGGGTGAGGGCCTTTTTAATGGTTTATATTATTCTCTAACAGAATAAGCTTATTATTTTGTAAATTGAAAATTATTTCAATGATCATTATGCAAATTGAAAAAATAGTAATTTGAATAATGACCAAAACGTCGAACAGTTTAAATTAAAATTGTAAATTGTAAACCTCTATAGGCAATAGTAAACAAAATTATTAAATAAAATGAAATTCAAAAACTAAAACGAAAATTTATTACTTTGGTTTTAAAAAAAAAAAAAAATTAAAAAAAAATCTTCATATCCTTTTCTACTACACGGTTCACAATACTGCCTTAGTTTTATGTCAAACTAACAGTAGTGCCTACAACAAAATACACACACATCCGCAAACTATCCGATCACTAACTTCTCATTCTTCCAGCATAAGATATACTACTTGTCATTGTCAAGCTTCTTTGCAAAAGCTATTCTTCTTGCAAGAAGCTAAAAACAGGGCCAAACCTGAGCCACAGATCCACTAAATGCCTTCCCTCTTCACATGAGAGGGGAGCATAAAATGTAAACCATTGTGTAATCATCATAAGTTCATAACACTTAGAAAAACCATTTCAGAAGTTCTATCAAAACAAAAATACCATTTCAGAATATAAAAATCCCACCATAGCACCAACAAAAATACAATTTGAGTAATGAAAGATGGAGGAAATCCAAGAGTAGTTAGTTCATATTATAAAAGACACAATTCTATGGAACATAGTAGTTAATTGCCCTGCAATAGCGTCGCAAGCCACGCCGTATGGGCGTTGCGATGCCTCTCAGCAAGAAATCGCGTTGCACCGCATCAAAACTCAATAGCGGCCATTGCGATCACATTTGTGGCCAAATTGTGGCCATATTGTTGTCATAAGGCAAAATGTCAATTTTGTTCTAAATTTAAATGTGTAACAGAAAAAATTTAAGGGTTTTTTAATCTATTCGCATCTCTCTCTGTCACTTCTGCTATCTCTGCCTTTAAAAAATGTTTCTTTTTGTCATTATTTCTGTCATATATCTATTCCGCTATTTCCGCAACGGCAATCCACTATAACGCTACAACGCTATAGCGTTTTTCGGGGTTGGCAGCGACATGACGCTCCACATTTGATAACTATGCTATGGAAAGAGATTCTACATAATGTCCTCGAATTTGTTACAGAATGCAAGCAAGCACAAATGCAAATGGGAGAAATGTAAGTTACCTAAGCGAGCGACTAGTGCTGCCCGTCAATAAAACATCAGTTTCAGATCGACCCTCTAATGTCTGCACATCAACGTGTATGTGTTCCAAAGCAGTAATACCTATCCTATCTGTTCCCTGATATTTCCACACCTACAAATTCAACCTTAGATTAGACACAAAACATTTAAAATGAAATTGAAATGTCGAAGAAATTAACATACAGCAGGTTGAGATGCTTGTATTTTCAGGAATTCCTCAGTGAAATTGCACTTCTCTAACTCCCTAGCTTGAAGCAGCTTAGACGTTTTGTTTCTAAGCTTCCTAAAAGAGTTCAAACTCTTTTCCTGTAACTAAAATCAATCATTCATTCATTTTATTCAAGGAATCATGTTAAAACCCAATAGGCCAATACATTCAAGTACAAATTATACCTTCGTCGAAGAGGTTTCGGGTGACTTTAGAGTACTGGTATTGGTCTTGGTCTTAGAAGAAGAAGAAGAACCGGGAATGGGGCCTTTGATGGGGAAATACCTGTTCTTCTCTGGGTCATAGTAAAACCCAGGAAGCTCTTAACACACACACACACACAAAAAAAACCATTAATCCATTTCCAACAATTATTAATCAATTGTTAGGGAAAACAAATAAACAGTTATGTAGACATCAACATGCGTATGGAACAAATTGATTCACCTCGTGGTTGTGGCATATCTGCGTCCCTTCGGAACCAAAGAGATTCACGTAATAGCGTACGGTGTGTCTGTCGGAAGAGGAAAAATATGCAAAAACACAACACTACAGAAGCTTCGGGTCTGGGACTGTGAAAATAGTCACCGATTTTATGCGGCGGAGTTACCTGGAGGTTCTTTTCACTGACCACCGCTCTCTGGATCCCTTTTGATTCGGGGTTCTGATTTTATTTTATTTTCCTAATTTAAATTGTATACTTTTATTTTATCTCCTCTCTTTTTTTAAAAAAAAAAATTGAATTTTACTAAATTAAATCAAATTAATATTTCTCACGCTGTAGGAGATAAAAATATTTTTTACATACATATATTTATTTTAATACTTTATATTTATTTTCACCTTTGTATAGTTATGATTTCCCATATTTAATGCTTTCACTTTAAATATGGGGAATCATGACCATACAAAGATGAAAATAAATATAACCGTTAGATCAACATAATCCATCTAACGGTGAAATTGATTGGTAGTCACTTGGTAGTAACACAATTTAGTTGTCACAATATCATTTCCCATATTATATATTAAAATTATTTCTTACACATATATAAAAATATGTAGAGCTATGTAAAAGAAAGAAAGAAAAAAATTGAAACCCACACATTTATATATGCATGCAGAGATATTTATCTCCTATTATCACCAATAAACTTTAAGCCCATATTAAATTGGTTAATATCTTCTTATTTTACATGAGAATATATTATTTTCCTAGACACGTAACAAACATTTGAGTCCCACTGAAATTTTTCTCGCTTTCTTCTTTTTAATGAGATCCACATATTTATTGCATGTATAGGAGACGAATATCTTTTCATGTGACATGAGAAAATATTAACCTATATTAAATACCTATATTTCAATTCTATCGCTCAGTATTTTGGAGGCCACTTGGTCTTCGATCTTATCAGATCGGCGTTGAAGGTCTTCGCATAATATTTATGGGTTTTACTAATTTCATGTTAAAGGAGATAAGTTATATCATGTCATAGAGACAAACTTGTGGATTCCACCACCTGCAAAAAAAAAAGATGGCACAGTTATCGAAAGATATGTAGGAAAGAAAACTTATCTCATGTAGCATGAGAATAGTTTTTCCCAATGTTATTAAAACTGGCCCGGTCATTGACCCAGTCGAGGTACTGAGTCACTGGGTCACTGGTTCAACCAGTGGGTTACTGGTTCAACCGCATGACCCGGTAATTATATGCAATTTTATAATTTATATTAAAAAATTATAAACACACTCAAATATCTAAGCAAAAATGACAAAAAATTCAAATATTTTAATATAAAAAAGAATAAATCACATATTATTATACAATAAAGGATCAAACAAAAATATAATGATCGTGATACGGGGCTTTAGGTTCAGAAAATGACATCTCTAACTATAAATCAAATCGAAATTTTCTACATAGTGCATAATTAAGATAATATTAGTGTTGTAGATACATAGCTTATGTAAGTTAATAAGAAATAAATATATTTAAATATGTCCATTATGATTTTTTTTTTTTGAAAAAAAATTTGGACTTTTTTTGGGACCGGACCGGGTCACCGGTTAATCGATCGGGTCACCGATTTTCATGAAAACCGGTCGGGTCGCACCGGGTCGCACCGGTTCGGATGCATGGTCGGTCTGTTGCTTGAACCAGACCGATTATATGACCGATTTACCGGTTCACGGGTCGACCCGGCCGGGTCGGTTCGGTTTTAATAACACTGGTTTTTCCCAATATTTATAGTAAAAGTGTGTGGTGCTCATATTTTTCTTTTTCTTCTTCTTCTCTTTACATGGTTCCACATATTTTTATATGTATATAAGAGATAAAATTATCTCTCACAATATGAGAAACATTAATCCATAGCTTTATATATGTGGGGTTTATCGTTTCTCAAGTTATTTGGGTGTTAGGAGAATTAATTAAGGGTGTTTTGATAAAATTCATATAACAAATAAATAAACAAAAATACCAAAATACCCTTTATCAATTCTCCAAACACTCCAAAACACTCTTCATTAATTCTCCTAACACTCAAAATAATATAGTTTTGGGTGGCTGGATAAGGTTATCTCAAGTGACTTGAGAAATATTTTATATATATATATATATAATCAACTTATACCAATATAAAAGTAATATATTTGACTCCCAATCTGTAAATTGATTTTATTTGTAAATGAAATGAATGACTAAAATTGAGAATGTAACTTATATTCTTACATGTTTACATTCATTCTTAACCATTAATTCATTATTTATCTACAACATAGACCAGTTACTCGAAGTATGTGGTAGATAATTAATAATTGTGACTCAAGAAAAATGATATTCATGCAAATTTTACTTTCAGTGAATGGATTTAAAATTTATAAAAGATAATTCATTATGAGGGTTATATTGATGCTTAAGAAAAATTCAATTTCATATTTGAAGATATAAAGGAATCTCTTTTCCTAACTTGAAAAAAAAAACAGAGAAGTGGGTAACAAATGCCAATTAGCCTTTAAACTTATACATACACTGGACGTATTATATTTTTCTTCTATTATGCTCTTTTTTATTTATCATTAAAAATGATTATATAAAATTATAAAATTACTAAATTGTCTCCATTGCAAGAAAATATAACTACTAGTGTTTTCTAAATGATATTTGGCTTCGTTGGTTCAAGAGGTACTGGCTTAATTCCACTTAAGTAAGATTTTGGATTTAAATCTTTGTGAATGCAAAAAAATCACTTTGGGAGAACTAGTCCCACCATGATGTGGATGTTCCCGACTCGAATAGAATTGCCTCTCGCGAGATGGTTTCTAACACCCCAAATGCTTTAATTACATGTTTTGAATGTGGAAAGCTAGGCCACTTTAGAAGTGAATGTCCTACACTTCAAACAAAGTCTAAAAGTGACAAAAAAATCTAGTAAAAGCAAGAAGAAAGGAAGGAAAGCTTACATGGCATGGGATGAAGACTCATCAAGCTCAAGTTTCTCATCAAGTGAAGAGGAAGCCAACCTTTGTTTGATGGCAAAGGAGGAAGAAAAAGCTAGTGAGGTAAATTCTATTTGTTTATCTTATGACCCTTCCTATAATGAATTAAAAAATGTTTTCAAAGAAATACATGATGAAGTTATGAAATATGCTAAGAACCTTAGATTAGTTATAAAGCATAATGATGACTTGCTTAAACAAGTAGCTTCTTTAAATGAACAACTTGATGATTTGAAAAATAAAAATGAAACTTTAAAGTTGTTGGATGTTAGTGCTACTTGTCTTGTATGTTTATCAAGATCTAATGGTGCATCATCATCTTCTACATCATGTATAACATGTGAAAAGTTTAAAGAGGAAGTTAAAAGGCTAAATGATGATTTGAGAAATTTACATGTGCTAAAGAAAATTTAGATGTTATACTTGGTAGACAAAGACCTACACATGTTACTCATGGTTTAGATTATATTAAGCCTAACTTGCATCATTTAAATGCTAAAAGGACTTCTAATGTACATCATAGATATATGTCTAAGAGTCCATTCATTAAATGCAATTATTGTGGCAGAAAAGACCATAATTCATACCAATGCAAGTATAGGAAAAATATGAAAGATTACAAACAAATTTGGGTTGTCAAAGGTACATTTTCCCCACTGTTTTCACATAATAGGCTGCTGCTCATGCCTAACAAAAATGGACCCAAGATCCTTTGGTACCAAAAGTCAAGTAAACTTAATTGTTTTGTAGGTACTAGTGTGCTTGAAGGAAAAAAACACCAAGTGGTACCTTGATAGTGGATGCTCCAAGCATATAACCAGAGATGTTACTAGATTCACTTCAATCATCATGCAACACCATGGATATGTTATATTTGGAGACAACAACAAAGGCAAGATACTAGGAATTGGCAAAATTGGTAATACTTCTACTACTTTAATTGAAGATATGCTTTTGGTAGAAGGTTTGAACATAACTTGCTTAGTATTAGTCAACTATGTGATAAATAATTTAAAATTGTATTTGATTCCATGACATGTCATATTATTAGTTTGCTTGATGGTGAAGTTAAATTCATAGGTTATAGAATAGATAATGTGTACATACTTGATATTGATTCTTGTTCTTCAAGCGATGCTGCATGCTTGATTTCAAAAAGTGATGAGACTTAGTTATGGCATAGGCGCATAGCACATATTGGCATAAGTCATCTTAACAAGTTAGTGAAAAATGATTTAGTAATTGGATTGCTTAAACTCAAGTTTGAAAAAGATAGATTGTGAGATGTTTGTCAAAAAACGAAACAAAATAAAACTTCTTTTAAAAGTAAGAATAGTGTTTCTACTTCTAGGCCTCTAGAGTTATTACACATGGATTTGTTTGGTCCCACAAGTACAATGAGTTTTGGTGATAATTACTATTCTCTTTTGATCATTCATGACTATTCTAGATTTACATGGACACTTTTCTTGTCACACAAATATAATGGATATGAATCTTTTATGAAGTTAGGAAAGCATATCATAAATGAAAAAAGCATGAAAATTGTTCATATTAAAAGTGATCATGGTGGTGAGTTTGAAAATATCAAGTTTGAAAAATTTTATGATAAGCATGATATAGGTCACAATTTCTCTTCTCCTAAAACGCCTCATCGAAATGGGGTTGTTGAGAGGAATAATAGAGTATTAGAAGAACTTGCTAGAACTATGATTACTGAACGCAATCTTCCTAAGTACTTTTGGGCCGATGCGGTAAATATCGCTTCTTATGTAATCAACCGTACACTAATTAGGCATATCCTTAAGAAAAATCCCATAAACTTTACAAAGGAAGCAAGCCTAACATTGCATATTTTCACGTATTTGGTTGCAAATGCTATGTTTTGAATAATCGTAAGAATAACCTAGGTACATTTGATGCTACCTATCTGTTGAAGAATAGATTAACAATCTCCTTATTCAATCCTCCGATGAAGAATCTGACAACGAATATTCAGAAAACCTAAATCAAATTCAAAAGGATGACTTATCCTATTAAGTAGGTTCACAATCCTCACAAGAAATTAATGTCCTGATAAAAGAGAAATATCTCTTGTTCGAAGTCATTGATTATATTCCTAATCCTCAAGAAAAGA